TCACCTAAAAAGCACACACAGACACACACACACAAAGTATCTGCTCTACAAACTTAACTTTCCCTCAGAACGCCCATTTTGGCTCTCATGTTCCAATCCAGCCTTTATCAAAAACAAACATTATATTTGGTTCTCTAACAGCTGACGCTTTTGTTTTATTTCCCAATTTGTTCCCAACTTGAGAAGAAAGAGGGGATCACCCTCACATAACCCAGGCATGAGTTAGCCAAGTGATGTACAATAGTCTTTTTCTTCTTTCCTTCCTTCCTTTCTCTCTCTTTCCTTTCTTTCTTTCCTTTCCTTCCTTCTTTCTTTCCTTCTTTCCTTCCATCCATCCATCTCCCCAATTTCATACTAATTTCATACCTCCAATTCTAATCCAACACCTCAGGGGTTAGTCTAGTTTTCTCGCTTTCCATATTTATACCTCGTTTTTCCAACATGGGAGCCCTGGTTGTGCAGTGGTTAAAAGCTATGGTTGCTAACCAAATGATGGGCAGTTCGAATCCACCAGTTGCTCCTTGGAAACACTATGGGGGAGTTTACTCTGTCCCATAGGGTCACTATGAGTTGAAATTGACCCGACAACCATGGGTTAATGGGTTTCTCCAACATGAGATACCTGGCTTCTGTTATCTTTAATTTATTTACTTATTCCATCAATACCCCTCTGCATAACTAATCTCCTTTCTCCGCCACCACTCCCTCCCATGAGCATATGCCCTCCTCTCCACACTCAGGCTCTGACTCCCCGCTACAGGCCTCTTCCCCCCATCCCCCCCACACCCTCCCCGCGCCACCATGTGGATCTTCCTCACCCTGCTTGGGCTCTGATGTCATTCCCTGGACCACCACAACGCCCGTCCCCTTGCGGTGCAGGTGCCTATCTTGTGTTGCCCTGCCTAATAACTTTAGAACAGAATTCTTTAGGAAAGAAGGAAAAGGAAACAGAAAACCTTTTTCTTTTTTGACAAGAACATTACACTTTTCTTTTTTTACTCACGGGATAAGTATACATTCTTCCAATGAGATTACTTTGAAGAGAAACCCTAATATGGGTATATAAGAATAATGATAACAACATTTGTATAACATTTTATATAGATAATTTTTACATATAGTAACTCATTGAATTCTAGAAACACTGGGATGAGAAGAAGAAACATTTTCTTTATGCTAACATTAGAAACAAGTAAAGCGAGACATCAAGAGGGTAAATTACTAAATTTGGAATTTGTTTCATTATAATCTCATCGTGTGCCAAGGACTGAAGTAAAAAATTGTCTGTAGTTTCCATCGCAATGGAGAGCGGTAACTCACTGATTCACAAGCACTTTGCAGGCATTAATTATGTTTCAGTAGATCCATGAATAGGAGATAAGTTAGACTTGAGAAGAAATAGCATGGTTAAATGTACAAAGCCAGTACCTAAAAATGGTGATCTGTTCACTCATAAGAATCACGAAATGGCAAAGAAAAGGTGGATAAGATATTTTCTTCCACAAAACATGATTTGAGTTCCTATTATGAGCCAAGTACTACACTAGAAAAAAGAAGGAAAAGACGTAGATAATGACTGTATGAGCAGCCCATTGCACTCTCTTGGTGAAGAATAGGAAAAGGGATTTGAAAAACGATGTGCCTGCTTTGGCATTTCCAAGTTTAGGAAAAACCCCATTTTGGAGCATGGAAACACCATGCATGGCTCATTCCTTTTGTTCCCAGTTAAACAGAATGACAGCACCACTAAAACAAGAAAATAACTGTTCTGCGTCCTAAAACGGCCGATCACAGAAACCCGGGGCTGAGAAACGGATATTAGAGGTCAGCCCAGGGTTACTGAGAGGATTAAATGAGATCCCATATACAAAAGCCCATTGCAGAGCCCCCAGCTCACAGCAGTTCCGTAATCACTACGAGACAAAAAATCTTGTTTGACCCTGTATTCACCCCAGAAGGGAACTAAGGTCCCAGGATGCTAGTTTACTTTCACAGAGTGGTAGCCCAGGGTTGAGACCGGAAATTCGCAGTCTGGGGCTTTTTTCACTGTATCATGCCGCTGAAGCTGGATAGATGATAACTAAATTCAAATGCAGAATAACCTGCAACGTTTGCTGAATCCAATGGTGACATTCATATCAATCCACTCAGAGAGTTAAAACCTACTCTACAGAATTCTAAAAGCGTGCAGATGATCAAACAGGTACGTACACTAGCATAGGCCTTGAGCTAGTGTCAATTTTTTAAGAAATGCAGCTAATAACATAAAAAATAAAATATTTAATTCTGAATTGACCAAAGTTGATCTCAGTGCTGCCAGTGTGGATTAAATATCAGCAAGGCACTACGTTTTTATTTCTTTGTGTATGTGTGTGTGTGTGTGTGTGTGTTCACTTTTTTTTTTTTTTTTAACCCTAAGCAGTTTTGCAGGGAAGAGTAGGCAAGAAAGAAGTGTTTAATAACATCAGAGGGCGACAGGGTTAAGACAAAGTTTTTTGTTTTTTTTTAAGGTGGAGAATGTTAAGAAGTATTTGTAGATAGAAGAGAAAGAGCTAGTGTTAAAGAAGATATGTCTAACATAAAAGAGGGTAAACAGGGCAAGTTTCCTAAGAATGTGGGAGAGAATGGCATCCTAGAACAGTCCTTAGAATCTGAAGGAAAAGAAGTAAGAATAGGTCAGAATCTATATGTGGGGCCAGCAAGGAAGGACACTTATACTGAATTCTCAGGTCATCTGCTAAAAGTGAAAGATAAAAGAGAAAGTGGGGGCATTGAAACAATGAATAAAAGCTGTGACAATTTGATCTTGAAGACAGCTCAGTGGAATTGAGGAGGGATAAGCAGTTCTCTGTTTACATGTTCCTCATTGTCCCCAACACCCAGAACATGAGAGGCCCTCAGTAAACATTATAGAGACTAAGCTCCACAGGGCAGAGATCAAGTCTTATTCATATAATTGCCCTCAACGATTAGCACTGTGTCTGGTCCTTGTAGGAACTCAAGGGTTAAAAAGAAATGACTAGATCTATAGAAAATTACACAAAAGCACCATTAGTCACATTCTCTGAAATTGGAAACTTCTTGCATGATCCCCTTAAATTACACTGTATCAGGAGGAAACAAACATGATTTGTGTTAATACCCAGGGTTCTTTAATCAAAGTAATACTTATAGAAAATATTTGTACCCACTAAAATTTAGTAATTTTCTTATGCTTATTTACAGTGTTATACAATAAAAATAAATGTTAGAATTATGACTCAAAGTCATAACTATTCTTCAATTTTCAGGAATAATTCCAAAATATTCGTTATACTTTAGTTACCTAAGACAGAAGGCAGAATTAATTTTCTTTAGAGTTATCATTTAAAATATTTCTGATAGATGCTAAAACAAGTAAGGGAAGTTCCTAATAAATTCTCAAAAATATATATTCTACATAATTTTGAAGTGTACATAAACTATTAGTTCTACCTTGACTCTGTCTGTGCGACTGTTGAAAAGTCCGATACGTCTGATGGTGCTGAGGATGGGATCGGTGGAATCATCAATCATGTTGTGAGTGGTCACTGGAGGCAAAGAATGTCGCTGAAGTAATGGAGGGAAGAAAATGTCAATTTGTGGAAAGAATTAATAAGTGTGACTCATTTCAAGAAGAGGCCATCGGCAACATTGCTTCCAGCCTTTATGCCCTAATGATGATGACTAAGTGTTGTGTTTCAGAGGAAAATAATGGGCTGGAGAACTTCCTTCAGATATTTTGAACACATGAAGCTTTTGTTTTTCACCTATGGCCACTATATGAAAGGCCTCGACTTCTTGACTGCTTCTGGGACTTACTTGAAGGTGACCTGAGAGCTTGACTCAAGAAGAGTTACTCTCCCAGCTCCTTCCAAAAGGGCTGTCTCCTGGTGCCCAGTGCTTCACTGTTATGACTGCTAGGACATGAGCTTCAGAACACATGTAATGCACACTTTGGTTTTCCTTCTTGCAATAATTCCACTTAACTTTGAAACATCCGCATTTTTTCTATTGTGACTCAAAATTCTACGTTTTTTGAAAAGTTTAGGTTTTTGTTTTTGCAAGATACACAGTTTTCCAATTGGATTCCAAATGAATTTTGTAATCGTGTACAAAGACAAGATTTATGACACTTTAGAACAGGACCCCAAAACCACTCATGACAGAGAAAATACAAAGTTGTCATTTAGATGAATACGTAAGAATGTCTTTTCTAGCTCTCAGGTTAAAAAAGTTCCCAAATTAGCACACGCCCACAAATCAAAATACTGATTTAAAAGTTATGGGAAATGGTAGATATGTTTTTGCTTTATTACCTGAGTCGAAAAGATGGCTCTTTTCATAATTGTTAGATCATCTCTATCCAGAATACTGTTCATGTCAGGAATTTCTCCTCTGTGGGGAAAATAATGTTAATAGTAAAAATAAAAACAACTGGCACTAATTCAGTGCTTCCCTGTGACAGACACTGTTCTAAACACTTTAAAAATAAACGGAAAATGGAAAATTTTTCATAAAAAGAATTGAGCTATCAAGGCACAGAAAGATATAGAAGCAACTTAAACATATATTGTCAAGTGAAAGAAATCAGTCTGAAAAAGCTACAAACTCTAAGATTGTAAATATATGACATTCTGGAAAAGACAAAACTATAGAGCCAGTGAAAAGATCAGTGGCTGCCAAACCTTCTGGAGAAAGGAGGTAAAGATTAATTGGTGGCCCCTTTGCCATTGAGTTGATTCCAACTCATAGCGATCCTATAGGACAGAGTAGAGCTGCCCCCCTAGGGTTTCCAAGGCTGTAAATCTTTACCAACGCGGACTGCCACATTTTTCTCCTTTGGAACATCTGGTAAGTTCGTACCATCGACAAGCCAGTTTTTCTTCATACTATAACAAATATATGTAATATCAATATATACTTTTGCATACCATTGACCAAGCACTTAGGCACTGTGCCACCAGGGCTCCTTTTAATAGATGGAGCACAATGAATTTTTAGAGTGGTGAAAATATTCTGTGTGATGCTGTAATGACGGACACATGACATTAAGCATTTGTCAAAATCCATAGAACTGTATGAGACAGAGTGAAGCTTAATGTAAACTATAGACTTTAGTTAATAATAATATATCACCTTTTATTGATTATAACAAAACGTACCACACTATATGTAAGGTGTTAATAATAGGGTGAATTGTGAGGAGGAACACAGGAATTTTATGCTCTATCTGCTCAATTTTTATGTTAACCAAAAACTGGTCTAAAAGTAAAGCTTATTAATTAAATAAAAAATAATCTGCCAACACTATTTTATGGAGAGTTCTATTTCAGCTAATGTTCATCAATCAGCTAATTGTCTTGAGATGTTGCCTACCATCAGGTCAACCACACTTGAGTTGTAAATGCATCTTTAATTCTGTGGTTGGGATGCTGAATAAATTTAGTCACTGTTCTTGAATAAAGTTAATAATTGTATCTCCAGGTCAGTGTCTGCTGGGTTCCCCGGACTTGTGGCGTGTGATACCGGAGTGCGGCCATAGCGGACCCGCAGCCTGAGTCCGGCGGCCTCACTGACGAGGCTGCCTTCAGTTGCTGCTCTGACGCAGACCCCAGAACCAAGGAGAAAACAAAGGCCTAAGTCTGAGTGCCAGGCCAGTGTCTGGATGTCAGGAGGTGCTTTGCTCTGTCTCAGCCGCTTGCTGAAACGGAGACAATCCAGAGTGTAACAGCCGACCGAGATCAGCAATCCAAATAGTCTGGGAACTTGCAACTTCAGACCCAACTGCTTTATATGATTTTCTATTGCAGCAGACCATGCTACGAATTAAAGATCCTAAGAAGTCATTGGATTTTTATACTAGAATTCTTGGAATGATGCTGCTCCAAAAGTTAGATTTCCCCACCATGAAATTTTCACTCTATTTCTTGGCTTATGAAGATAAAAATGACATCCCCAAAGATGCAGATGAAAAAGTAGCATAGGTGTTCTCCAGAAAAGCTACACTTGAGCTGACACACAATTGGGGCACTGAAGATGATGCGACCCAGAGTTACCACAATGGCAATTCAGACCCTCGAGGATTTGGTCACATTGGCATTGCTGTTCCTGATGTACATGGTGCTTGTAAAAGTTCTGAAGGACTGGGGGTCAAGTTTGTGAAGAAATCTGATGATGGTCAAATGCAAGGCCTGGCATTTATTCAATATCCTGATGGCTACTGGATTGGAATTGTGAATCCTAACAGAATGATAAATATTATCAGTTCTTGAGAATGCTGCTTTGAAATTTCAACGAAGATGTTGTTGGAGCTGGGAAGGAAACAATGTGATTTATGACATTTCAGATAACAAAAGCTTCTAGAACTGATAGATCATTTGTCTTAGTCTAAATTGTCCTTAAGTTCATTTCTCTTTCTATTCCTGCTCTGTTTGCTCTGTTTTTCACCTAACTATCCAGTAAGTTGGTTTTAAAGTATTGCTTTAACTTATGTCCTTGAATGTAATTGTATAACTTTACGTTTTTAGGTAATAATTAGAACAGTTCCCTTCAAAAAACAAAAAATTGAATCTCCACACACACACACACACACACACACACAAAAAGTAAAGCAAACATAGTTTCCTGATGAAACTCCCAACTTTCTAATACATGGAGAAGTTTGATAAAACAACACCTTTGATAGTATAAATGATAATGGAAATTCATTATTAAAACCTTAATGTTGACCATCAGGAGGACACTGTCATTATAGTTTGTTCACTTTTGATTACTACACTCTAAAGTTTCCATAACATATTCATGTCTAAACTGATTTTTTTTTTTTTTAAACTGGTAGAAAGGAAATGTTGCCCGCCTTCCACCACGGAACAGGAGACAAACCAGTTTTTCTTCATACTATAACAAATACATGTAATATCAATATAAACTTTATTATTAAGTAAACATAGATTGAATATGTATTAAGTCAATATATATTTTGATTTAAAATCTCATGAAATCTCCCTCAGCTTCCGATTGACATGTTAGCCCTTAATGTGGTTCTTATTGAGTTAGAACCTGCGTATGTATACAAAGGAAATCCTGGTGGCGTAGTGGTTAAGTGCTACAGCTGCTAACCAAAACGCGGGCAGTTCAAATCCACCAGACGCCGCTTGAAAACTCTATGGGGCAGTTCTACTCTGTCCTATAGGGTAGCTGTAAGTTGGAATCAACTCGACAGTGACAGGTTCACGTATACAAAGATCTTCTCGTTTGTACAACCTATTTACAGATATTTCTCAAATAGATCATAAAACAAAACCTGCTTACATGACGTAACACGTCTTCAAAGGCTATTAATTCTTCATATTTGGAACAAAATAAATACATTATAGTGTCTGACTTGTTACATTTGGATAGTAAAGTCCTAAGTGTTTTGTGTTAAGTATTCCAAGTACCTACTTTAATAAAGCATCATAGAGTTTCTTTCCGAACTTTTCCTTCACAGAACGTGCAGTGTCCCTGTGTGAAATAGAAAGATTTACCGTTTAAACGGAGTGCCATAAGTTTTACTTTTTCCTTGTTTTGACAGTGCTGTTGTTTTGCCCGTGCATTCTCTGAAAAGATACAGATCCCTTTGCATAGCCTCTTCCGTTATTTTTCTATTTGCCGATTTAGATTGAGTTAAAATCTCTAGAGCTAAGGCAGCAGAACACTCTGACCAACCCAGAGAGCTTAAAATCCAATCCCTTTTTTGCTTGAAAATAATCAAGGGTAGAGAGGACGGGAGGGAGGGGGAGTGTATGGCAGTGTAGATGTAATGAGATTGGGAATTAGCTGATAATTGTTGAATCTGGTTGATGTCTACATAGGAATCATTATACTAACCTCTTGATTTTTGCGTGTTTGAAAATGCTCACAATAAAAGGTTGAAAAAACAATTCAATCCTTCTTTAAAGATTTCTACAGAGACTTTCTTCTTATTCCATAAAAACACATTCCAAGGTTGTTTTTTTTTAAAATAGTAACACAATTTTGTAAATATTACATAATCTAACATAGTAACACAAAGAGAAGAGAACCAAGTAGCAATTGTACTATAATAATCTTAAAAGTTCTTAAAAACACAGTTCATGAAGCTATGTCAGAGAGCATTTACTTAAAAACATCCCTTTATACTTATTGCTTGAGAACATTAACAGGGCGTGAGTTTACCATAGCTGTTTTCGCACTGCCTGTCCTTTCAGGGTTTCCACATTGAAATTATTTGTCTTGGCAGGCATAATGAAAAACACCACCACTGTGACGTCACTTTTATGCATCTGTTGAGGGATTAGAAAACACAGCAGAGTCAGCTATCAAAGAGAAAACCTACACCAGGTGGACCTTGAACTTTGAAAAATAGTGTTTTTAAGTATCTTTAGAGAAAAAGAATACTTGTTTATAATTCACATAGAAATCATACCCATGTACTTTTTGAGAAATTTAGATTTAAATCTGGCTTTCAGTCGAGATTCAGACGTAAAATATTTCCACGGCATTGATCATCTAAAATATATAAACTAATTGCTATTGATATCATTGTGTCTTTTGACGGTTAAAAAAAAATAAGGTAAACGTGAACTAATGTTACAAGGCCAAGAGTAAAACCAAAACCAAACCTATTGCCGTTGAGTTGATTCTGACCCATAGCGACCTATAGTCCCTTAAAATTTTGGCTGGAAATTTAATAAGTAATTTAATTTTGGTTTATTCTTTTTTTAATATATTTTTATATTAAATTTATTGATTCTCATGACATTGCATTTTGTTTTCTAGCTCTAATGGAAAGGCCCAAGCACACGTTCAGCATTTTTGGTATAGCAGGTCCTGTGCTGAATGCTTTAAATACACAATTTAATCCAATCTTAGTGATAACCCTGTACATAGAACAGATAGCACTTTCCTCATTACACTAATGTAGAATGAAGGGGCACAAAAGTTTACGCATTTTGTCTGAGCTCCTGTAATAGGTTAGTGGCAGAGCTGGGACTCAAACTGGTGTTTTCTGACTCTAAAATCTATGTTTTCTTTTTCTCTTCCCCAAAATTCCATTGGCCTAGTGTCTTTCAGAAGGAAATGACATATCAAACAGCTCTGGGAAAGAAAACATAAATTCACTTAAAACCATGAACATATGAACGTGCATGTATTCTGGAAACAATTGACTGTTCCTTGAGTGGGGGACTTTACCATCTAATATGTGGTCTCTGAACTCTAGGGCCTGACATGCTATTCAGAAAACCTACAGAAGTCATGGAACAGGAAACTCATCCCCAGGAGTAGCCCATGTGCCATTAAAGAATACTTGAACTCTATGGAAAGAGTGTGCCTTCTTTTAATTTCTCCAAGTATTTCAATTATTTTTGATGTCTAAAAAATAGTTATAGGCTTTTCTTTCACATGTAAAAATAAGGTGAATATTTAATAACTGTGTAGATAAATTGATTAATAATGTCCCTAAACATGATATAAAGCAATATAAAACTATAAAGCTTATTGAAAAGAAACATACTAGGAAATATTATGAAACAAAATTATTCCAGTTTTTCAGTCCTATTATGCAGTCTTTGGTTTTTATTACTATATTGCTTTCTTATTAATGTGATTTTAGTATCCTACTGGGTTGCGATGAGTCAGAATCGACTCAATGGCAACGGTAGTAAACTTTTTAGCATACTTGTTATAATGTCTGCTCTAAGTCAAGAATAAATCTATAGTCAAGAAAAAAAAATTAACCAGAGAGTAGTACAGAGATCAGGAAATTTTTTATTATCTTGGTATCTCAATAAGATTTAAATTCTACGTTGGTCTCCTACGAGTGCTTTACTGTTATTTTATATTTCTATGTGATGTGACTAGAATATATGTCAATAACATCAATCAACAGCAATGACTTGGTGCCATTCTCCACAGTTGCTTCTACTGGTGCATTTTTATTGCTGGATTAGTTGGGAACTCATTTTAACTCCTATCTTCTGAGTGAAAAACTATTCTACATTGTTGGGAGTAGGAATCTGCGTTCCCCTTGTACGTGTTTCCATGTGGCAGGATATCCCCTAGCTTAACACTTGTAGATTCTCTATATTCAGGAAGAAAGAGTGGTTAGTGAGTTCGGGAGGAACAGTGGCTGGTAAGTGTGTGTCTGCCCCTTCCTACAAGAGCAAGTGCTCTAGCACTTGGCTGTCAGCCCCATGGTAAATGTCATTCTGAAGACCTGTTTTGGGTCAGAAGATAATGGCAATGGATGGGTAAGTCTAATATCAGAGTTCAGCATTAGGAAGCCCATTATTGCCGTTTACCCAAGCCACATCTTCTATTATAGTCTTTATCAGTAAAAAAACCCAAAAATTATATTTTGTTTTTCATTTGATTGATTTCTCCATATTTATATTATAATTGGTTACAAATTCCAATGAATTGTAAGGGATGTTATAATGACTTCCTAAAACATAGTACATACAATGTGATAAGCTTGTGGGACTTTTTAAAAAATATACTTGACAATATGGACAACAAATACACAAGTGAACAATGTGACAACCTTAATATGTAACTTAAGGGCAGAAGTAATTTTTAGAATAGGGTTATTGCTTTAAGCCTTTTAAAATCATAAATTATATTGAAAAAGATTTAGGTAGCCAGAAAGTTCTTCACTTCCCACAGGAGAAAATTCTCCCTAAAAGAGCATTTTATCATGTTCCAGAAATTTCTTACCCTCAGCAGGAAATTCAGCCTGGATAAGGACTCTAAGAAGATGTCGGCTCCTTTGTTTGAAAATTCATACCTCCCAGCAATGAAAAGGAACAAAGTCTTTTCAAGATCAAAGTCAAGATGACTAAAACAAAACAAAACAGTTTCAAATGAAGTAAAACAGCAGCAACAAAATGTGCACACGAATTCTGTCAAAGTGCAAAGTGGGCTGGGAAAGATAAACATTTACAATATCAGTCCTGTTTCCTCTATACCAAAGATCACTAAAATCATTTGCTAATTTTTTTAAATAAAGAAAAGCATACCCATAGAAATGACCTCGAACAAAATCTTGGATCCTGGCCTTATACATGGCATGTAGATTTTGAAACTCATGTACTGCTGAAAATTTCTTAACATTCAAGCCATTTGGAGTAATGACATCTGGAAAAGCAGAGCAAAATCATGAAAAATTTCTTCCCAGAAGGTACCATTATAGATGTCTATTAACATTTCTAGTTTCTGACTACCATAGAATTAAATAAATTAAAAAACTTTA